ACACTGCAAGATGGCGTAGCAGTGTTCTCATCCAGTGTCAGGAGGTCTTTTGTGTCCACAAATACACTGGCTGGCCAAAATAAAARGGTTCACACACTAATATTTTGCTGACTGCCTTTATCTTTGATTACAGCACACATTAACTGTGGCATTGTTTCTATAAGGTTCTGCAGTGTCTCAAGATTTATTTCCATCCAGTGTTGCTTTAATATTTCACCAAGATCTTCCATTGATGATGGTAGAGTCTGACCTTCTCCAGCACATCCCAAAGATTCTCAATGGACTCTGTGGAGCCAATCCATGTGTGAAAATGATGTCTCATGCTCCCTGAACCACGCTTTCACAATCCAGCCCCATGAATCCTGGCATTGTCATCTTAGAATATGGTCGTGCCATCAGGAAGAAACAATCCATTGATGGAATAACCTGGTCATTCAGTATATTCAAGTAGTCAGTTGACCTCATTCTTTGAACTCATACTGTTGCTGAATCTAGACCTGACCAACTGCAGCAACCCCACATCATAGGACTTAGGTGGCCAAATGTTTTTGGTCAGGCAGTGCATATTCAATTATGAAAACTGGTGCTCATCATGAATACTGTACATACATTGCTGTAACTGTAATCCCCCCATGTTGATTTACTGATCTCYTCACTGTAGGTTGTTGGAGTGGCTCAGGCTATCAACAAGAAATGTGGAGAGGACAGTGCCTTCACAGAGCAGGATGAAAAGGTTAGCACATTTTCCTGTTTTCATTMCAGAAACTTTAAARTGACCCTTAGTTTTGGACCAAAGACAACAAAACCTRGTAATCAAGTGTTGGATTAAACACCAGCTCAGCATAACCCAAAACTAACATGGTGTAGCTCAGTCAGTTTTAGAGATATTAAACTAAAGTTTGATGTGGTAGTAGCTGAGAGTCCTTCATAGCACCATACTATGAGTATGACATCTTTATGGATTAGACTGAAAAGTTTGTTCAGATATYACAGTTGTCACTCTGTCATTTCTCAACATCTGATGTAGGCGGTTCAGAAGAAAGACTAGGCCTTTACAGTKGTTGTTGCATCAGTTGATTCTTTTTTTCTGTCCTCTTTCTTTTTCCTACACAACTCTCAGATATTGTCATTCTCCTCCCTGACAGGACTTTTCAGCCTATTTGGCTTTTTCAGGCATCGTCCTGCACAACGCACAGCTGTACGAGACGTCACAGCTGGAGAACAGACGCAATCAGGTGCGTGGGATTGTTTCCTTGGTTTGGTTTGAGTGTGTGCAGGTACAGGTCTATGTTTGGTAATGTGTGTGTGTGTGTGTGTGTGTGTGTGTGTGTGTGTGTGTGGCCTGTGCATGTGTCCTCCTTCCTTTGTGCCTGCCTGCTGCCTGCCTACTGTAGGCCGAGGGAATCACTATGCCTACTACGCCTATCGGCANTGTGTGTGTGTGTGTGTGTGTGTGTGTGTGTGTGTGTGTGTGTGTGTGTGTGTGTGTGTGTGTGTGTGTGCAGGTACTGTTAGACCTGGCCAGTCTGATCTTTGAGGAGCAGCAGTGTCTGGAGGTTTTACTGCGGAGGATCGCAGGAACTATCCTCTCCTTCATGCAGGCCCAGGCTTGCACTGTCTTCATTGCTGATGATGACTCAATGGTAAACACACAAACAAACATACATACACACACACACACACACACGTTTGTTTGTCTATCCTCAAGGGGACTTTGCATTGACTTCCATTCATTTACCGGTCCGTTGATCTGTATTACTGGATTGGACATGGCCCATTAGCCGCTATAGCTAGTGACGTGCCTTTACAATGCATTGAGTCATGTTGACAAAAAGATACAGTTCCAATGTGGGATGCTTGTCAATCTGTCACTAAAATATTTGTAGCACCGTTATTTCTTTTCTCATTTCTATTAAGTATCTCTTAAAGCTGAGACAATTGCCAGTGTTGTGATATGTAAAAATAAGTCGTTTCCCAAGAGATAAATTTATAAGCAGTCTYTGAACTTTTCATTATAGGTTTTGCTAATGCATTTATTGTGGAAACTATCAGACATTGACACTATTTGACCCACAGTTTGAACAGCTCAAAATGTTCTTTGTTTGGAAATCTAATGTGTAGAAAGCTGACATTTTTTAAATGCAATCTATTTTTATCTGTCCTCTTTTTAAAATAATGACAAAATCATCTGCATTTAAGTTTCATTTGGCTTCATTAATATTCAGTTTGAACAAGCTGAACAGAGAATCTACATCAGCATTGCCTTTGCTTTGGTTATTCTGAGCTCAGTTAGGAGGGGAAATCCGCCTCGTAGCGTTTGTGCATTGTTTTGAAAGAAATGCAGTTCCACGTTATCCTTTTTGGACAAGCCAAGGCAGCGCTCGAATTACATATGAGTCCTCTTCCCACTCCAGGTGAAAATAATAAGTTTTTGTTTGCTTGTTAGTTTGTTTTTTGTTCATTTTTTTCAGCCTCTCTGCTATGTTGTGAACACGTGACCTTAAAGTCTCACGAGACCGTGTTCGGAGTGCTGTTTCACAGCACCCAAAACTCGCGAGACTACATCTGTGAGAATACAAGCGCGTTGCTGGAATGTGTTACTTAAACTCCTCCCATCTCCACTGCTTCTGCCGGAGTTAGAATGAAGCTCAGCAAGCGGACATGTCACCTTGCTCTAACAGCTCACGAGCCAGCTCGTCAGCTGTTAGAGCAAGGTTGCGCTTCGTGGGCGTCTGGGAACCAGCTGGCGGGCGACCGGTTGGGCACCCCTGATATAGAATAATTTGTTGAAACAGAAAATCTGTTTTTAACTGGGTTCACACGACATAAGGTTGTGAAAATAAATCTAGCATAACTTACCTACTTCCTACATCTCTGCCTATTTTTAAATAATAATAATTTTAATGACTTGTGAAATGTGATACCTTATAAATCTTGTGATCTTGTTGTCATAGTGTTGACAATTAAAAGCAAAACATTGTGCCTTTTTTTGATATTCTTTACATGACTGCTGCATTTCATTTTCACCACCATCCATGGATGTTCCTGAGTCCCGACTCAGTGCATTGTAATGGCACATGTGCAGCATGGTCATAAGTCATGTGATGTCCAGTCCAGTAATACAGATCAATGTACCGGTCATTTCTACAGACCTAACCATGACCCCTATGACTAAACCTAACCTCACAGGTACATACCTGACTCTAAACCTAACCTCACAGGTACATACCTGACTCTAAACCTAACCTCACAGGTACATACCTGACACTAAACCTAAACTAAACTCAAATCATACCTTAGTCCTAACCGAACCCCTGACCCACCAATGGGGTCAAAATGTCCTCATAAGGATAGTAGACTGTCAAATTATGTTTGACTGTGTTATGTTTGCTCAGCACAAGGATAGACACATAGGAACACATGCACAAAGTTTGTGTTTCTATCATTTTCAGAAAACACTGGTGTGGTTAAAAACACAAGCAGTGGTCTGAAGATGGATCACACGAATAAGTTTGAATGAAATTAGCTGGACCGTGAATATGAAGACTCTCTGTGCCCTCAGGGCTCAACAAATCATTTCCTCATTGAGTTTCATTACAACACATGATGGATGAGCTATCAGCAGGGCTCAGGTCAATGCTAAATATATACCTAATGCATAAAAGCCACTTCTGGGTCATAACTGGCTGTGAATACTGGTCAAGAACAAAAACATGATCTGTCACTGGTGACATCCCTCTTCAACAGTTTTTTTAATGCAGACACATAAAATTGTTGGTGATAATTTAGGACTCCCAGTTTGGTCTCATCAGTCTCAGAAAGTTTTCTCTGAAACTTTGGTTCTTGTCAGCTCAAGTCCTGTGTTGTTATTGTTGTTTTTCTTCCAGTAGCAGATCCTCCTGGATCACTTATTTTGCTCATTCTGGTTTAAAATGTGACTGCTGGTTAGAGAGTGAGCTTGAAGTTCAGCTTGAATCAGTTTAGATCAGTGTTTTTCAACCCTGGTCCTCAGGGCACACTGCCCTGCATGTCTTAGATGTTTCCCTGCTTCAACACAGCTGATTTCAAATGATAACTGATTAGCAGGCTTTTGTTGAACTGCGTTCATCTGAATCAGGTGTGTTGAAGCAGGGAAACTTCTAAAACATGCAGGGCAGTGTGCCTTGAGGACCAGGATTGGAAAACACTGGTTAAGATGGTTTCTTKAGATCTTTTTCTACCATCTATCGGTCTGATCAACCTGGGGCTGCAGTTCCTCTTGCGTCCACCTCCTGTCATGCTACGTGTCAAGCATTCTACATACTGCACTGACTGGTCATGTGACCAAGTTTAACTGGTTAGGTTAACCATCATATTAACCAGCTTATGGTAAAAGTAATGAACTGAACTCAGGCTGTTTGACTACATTATTTTTGCATATAATTGAAAAGTCAGCAGGTTTTTGGTGAAGATGAATGAACCAGCTCTACGTTCATCTAACTTCTATCATTTATAAGCAGAGGCAGCAGGTTCATTTCAGACAGGTGCTGTAATTCATGTCAGAGAGAGAACATGAGCTGATGATGCTGCCTCTGGGTATACAGACGAGTGCTGAATAATTAATGAAAAAGTGGCYCAAAGTGTTGGGGGAGCCTCTCTTAGAGGAGCTGTGAGCATTCATTCCCAAACGTAAAAAACAAAAGAAAGGAACAAAAGCTTTGAGTTGTAAATACGCCTGTTGTAAAAACAAATTTTACTGGACTTTAAATTGTCTCCAAAACTATTGTGAAAAACAATTATGTAATTTGAAGACCATTTTAAAGGCACAGTGTGTAGGATTTGTTGTTTTCAACGACATCTAGTGGTTGAGTGGTCGAATCATCCTCCCTGGTCCTCCCCCCACCCCCACCCCCCGCTTCCAAACGCAAAGGAGTTTCTACGGTGTCTCTCAGGTGTCAAAAACCTTTGATAATTCCAACCGCGATGTCTACCAGCAGCTTCAGGGCTAGTGAGGGAGACATGAAGAAAACAAACAAGCAGATAAAGGAAAATTGACTTTATTTTGATTTGTCATGCAATTGACTTGTTGCTTACAGACCTAGTTGTAAAGAAAATACTAGTTATTATCAGGGTGAAACATGTAAATGTACAGTAACTTTAAGCTATCAGATCCATGGAACAGTGGGCCAGATCTTTAATGTAAAGTTGCTACAAATGAGTTTGAATGTCCAGTCAATGGATCTAGAAAAGATATGATTGTGTTCCCCAGGACATTTTGTTGAGGGTGCTTGAGGATTATGTGGTGACAGGGTCACTGTCTGGTTCCTGTATACCAACAGTTAGAGCTGACTCTGCTGACACAGCTGTCCTCTGTCTCAGATTGTCACAAAGACAAGATCCCAAGGTGAAGATGTCTGGTTTTAGACCCTTGCGGTTTCATTTGTGCTTTTTGTGAACAATCTAGTTTTGTTGGTGTCTTCTGTGCCTGACTTCCAGCATGCACTGGGGTGGAATTTCCTGAAATTGGTCTTGCAAAAGTAGTGCCAGTACTGTGCACAGACAACTGATTGACTCTTACCTGAACCTAAATTTTGCAGAGTTATAAATGTCCACTCTTACAGAGTTCGGTTTGTGCCTTTTGGGCTTCTTTGGAAATGATTATTGGAGAGGTTCTGATGAGGTGTAAAGAACCAAGCCTACTCTGCAACAGGTCAAAACTGCAGGCAATCAGTGCCTGTAACTTTAGAGTTACACTGAGCGTGGGGTCTGAGTCATGGTAAATGGTAAATGACCTGTACTTATATAGTACCTTTCTATCCAACCAAGATACTCAAAGCTCTTTACAATCTGTGTCCTCATTTAACCATTCATTCAGCACTCTACTATACTCTACAAAGCTAAGATGTACAAATCAGTTTATTGAGACTAATCAGTGTTTTAAATCACATTCATATACTATGGGACAATCAATGGGAGAATCAAACAACCAACTCTCTGATTAGAGGATGACTCCTTTAACCCGATCATCATCTAAGGGAATAAAGGTTTGTTTGGACTTGTCTTCTCCTGAGACACAGCTAGGCTGAAAAATGGAAATAAACCCTCCAAACACCTACAAATGAACTGTCACACAGAGAGCGCAAGTGATAGACGAGCCTCATTTCCCTGGTAACTCTGAGCAGAATCACATTACAGCAGAAACACACATTGTGGCTCAGCACGCTGCTTTTGTAGCTACAGCATTGGTAAATACCACCTCCCTGCTGTTAATGAACAGGAGATGATTGTTTCATCAACTATTTTTTTTCCTATAAACATAATCACTGCTCTAAATTATAAAACAATTAATTACAACTTTTGCCAGTATTAGGGCAGCTGATTATTCTACAGTTTCCAGTATAGAAAATCAGATAAATATCTTTGGGATTCAATACAAGTGATGAGGCATCGATCAGTTAGGATAGCACTGCTTCTAAAAAATTCTAAAACCAAATGCTTTAAAGAAAATCTTTACTAATACCTAATTTAAATAAAGTTATCACTTTTTTTACCTTCTGTATAACGTAGTACAGTACAGTAGTACACATATATTGCAGTTCTGTACATTATAGTACCTTGGTACTGGGGTCACAGTTTCAGTGGTCATTGGAGCACTTGGTGCTTTGACCCCCAAACTGGAAGAGTGGTTCCAACAGGTCCCAGGAACAACCTCAGTGGTTCCAACAGGTCCCAGGAACAACCTCAGTGGTTCCAACAGGTCCCAGGAACAACCTCAGAGGTTTCTGTCCAGAAAAGTGTTGTTCATAGATGGTCATTTGGACCTATTACTGTACAGGTATATTGTTTTGACCAATCCATGTACTGTTGTATCTCAGTTTTCCTGCTGAGAAATTTGATATAAGAACTAAAAAATCTGTTAATGTAGATGGCTAGTACAAGAAGATGAACCATGGTACAACAGTGGTAGATGGGCTGTGCACAATGCAGCCACTCCAGGCGAGGGCTTGGTAGGGACAGACTATAGTGTCCGACCGAAGTCAGATGCCTTGGTCCCGCGAAGGCCAACGTACGTCCATCGCAACTTCCCAAAGCAGGCGAAGACAGAGGGGTGGTCAAGATCTGTGCCACTGCAGCCTGAGATGAGCGCTGTTGCAGCCTCCTCCAGTGCAATCTCCAGGTTGACGATGACGGGCCGTGCACCATGTGGCCTCCCTGGGCGAGGGCTTGGTAGCAACAGACTGGTGCCCGAGGAGGCCAACTTGTGTCCATGGCCGCTTCCTGAGGCCAATGTTGTGGAAGGGGAAAGGACTGCTGTTGCAGCTTCCTAAGGCTGGCAATGTGGAGGCAAAAAGGCGGTCCATGCACAAAGGTGCTTACCTCCCCAGTTGTTGATCAGGGCCGCGCACTATTGTTCAACATTACTATGTGCTAAATGACAAATCATGTTCAAATTGAACAGCAACACTAAACACACAACACATCACTTAACGTCACCACCATCTGCAGACTTGTGAGGAGCAATAGGGACAGAAGTTTCCTTCAGCTGAAAGTCCTTGGGCAAATCCTGCTYTACGCTGTTTGTAGTTTTCAAGGGAGTCCATGGTGAAATTATTTACACAAACTACAACTTTCTTTGGCAATATCGCAGGGATATAWCCATCAAAAATAAAATTAGGCCATGCATCTCTGTTCTCTGTGACTGTTGTAAAAACAGCAGCATTAAAGTGGACCTTCCTGTAATGGAGTGGGCGGAGTCTCCACTTGGGTTACCAGGTGAGGGGCTGTGCTCTTTTATGGATTGCTAGGTTATCCGGATAGAGACGTAACAGTCCGTGGGTTTTTAAAACATTTCATTTACTGACACTAACAAAACATAGATATTGTCAAAAAACGGCTGGGAGTATTATTTTGGTGCTTGGACTTTTTCTGGAAGCAGACCCAAATTGAAGCATAAAAACATGTAAAAAGTTAATTTTGCTTAATAGGCACCCTTTAAAGAAAATTATAGTCTGCAGAAATGTGTCCTCTATTAGTAAAAAGTACTATAAAACAGCTGGAATAGTAAAAAAAAGTAAATGTTGTACATCTTTCCACACTTGATTCCATATAAGCTGTATAAATCCTGTTGTCCCCTTCATGACCTGGCAGTCACCAGTTTGACTGGCTCGTCCACTATTTCTCTTTTATACTTTTTTTAAATAAACATTTACTCTGCAGTTTATCCCCAAGACTTTTACTGGCCTTCTCTTAACAGTCATCAGTATACAGGTGTCAGCCTTACATGTCTGTAGTTTGTCAAATGGAACTTACAGGTATGTGGATTTCAACTAAACATTTTCTCCAGGAAAGGGGTGTTCATGTAGGAAATCTAAGAAACAATACTGTTAACACTGACTGTAGCAACAATGACAGTTTGTCCACATTGGCTCACTTCATTTGTGTGTGTGTCAGTTTGGAAACAGTGCTGTGTGTGTTTGTGTTTACTGTGTGATCTACAGGGCATTCATTGGACTTATTTGCACATGTTTTGCATGGGAAAGATTAGATGTGTATATACATCTATTATTTTACTGTAGATTGTATTTCAGGCCTCTTGATCTCATTGGGGTATTAATCTGGTTAAAAAAGGAAACAATCACAGTGGTAATTTCCACTGGCGTGCATTAGTTTGACATGTGCTTATATGTGTGCAGAATATAGAACAGAAGAGTCCTCTATTTGTTAAGAAACTCACCAAACAAACCTCATTGTTGGGATCTGCAGTGCACGTGTGAGATCTGTAATGCACAAGTGTGTTCTGCGATGGGTTTAGTTTGATACATCTGGATTTTTGTGTGTACGCCGTTTTCTGGATTTGACCGAACGTCAGGTTTCAGTAAGAAATTCATGCAAGTCTTTGTACATGAGGCCCCTGGACCAGAGTTTGTGAAAACAACACACAACAGCCGCTAAGGCTGTAACATTGCAACCCACCTCTGTCCAAACAGGCACAATTTATTCTGTATGTGGCTTCTAAAAATACTGTAATTGTGTCCACCCCCACACCTCTTATGAAGTTTACTAAATTTACATAGCACAACCCCCCCCCCCCCCAACTCTTAGCGAGCCCAAGGTTTGGCCCGGTGCTGGAGGTGCCTCCTGAGGAATCACCAACTGAAAGACACTCCTCTAACTAAATGCCTGCTCACAGGGCTCTCATGCTACAGAGGTTAGAGACCAGGGTCCGTATTTATCAAACTTCTTAGAATTATTCTTAAGAATGCTGCGTGTTCTTAAGTGTAAACAAATTCTTAGTTAAAAGTTGAGAGTAAAAGTCAGTTATCAAGTGTCTCAGTCTTACTTTAAGTGAAGTGTAGGAGTAATTCTTAAGTGTCAGACTTACAGCTGATTTGTGACACCTGGCTGTGCCGCAAAGCTGAGCCTGGATGACGTCATTAGAAAAAAAACCCCGACATGAACCAATCACTGCAATGAATGAATGATGCATGAAAATTGTAAAGCGTCTTTCAGGGTCTCAAAAAGCACTATATAAGACTAATGTCTTATTATTATTATTATTATTATTATTTTTTTTTTTTTTTATTATTATTAAATGTCAAGATAAAACTGTGAAAATCCTAAGATAAGTTCACTTTCAACACATTAATGTTGTCACCTTGTACTAATAGTCTGTAAATTACATAAAATGTCCTCATTTGCATCATGAGAACAGACGAAAATCTCTTTTTTTAAAATCAAAAACARAGCAGCATTAAAGTTTTTTTTAATGTCTCAAAGCCTGAGGAAATGTTAAACTGCTCCCTCCTGTCCGCAGACAACACACAGYGACACGCACACAACCCCGCTCCATCCTTAACAGCTTGGTACGAGAGGAGCACTCCCCCACCCTGCGCTTTAATATATTAAGCAAAAAACTGTGGGGGGGGGGGGGGGGTCCGCATGTACTCACTAGCTGAGTATATTTGATATTTTCTCCAAAAGCAAAAGCCACACACAACTATCCGCCTTTTAGTCCAATGTTATGTACACTGTTTTTTTTATTTTTGTACCTTTCTTTCTTTTGTATTACCTTTATGACTGAGAATAACACTCAGGTGGGGAGGAGGACAGCTGTAATCTCTGTCTCCTCAGTTCATCTCAGACCCCTAGTGGTAACTCTGAACCACTGAAGAGTCCTCTGGAGCAGTCTGAACTTTTCGGGAGAGTAAGAGTGATTRTTAGACTTAAGAATTTTCATAACTGGCACTTACACTTAAGTCTGAGAGTAGGAGCAAYTCTKAGAAATTTTCAGCACTTAAGTCTAAAATCCACTCAGAAGTTTGATAAATATGGGCCCTGAACTAAAGAATAACTCAGGAAACCTAAACCTTGCTATAGGATTTATCAAAAAGGAAAGTCTTCAGTCTAATCTTAAAAGTAGACAGAGTGACAGCCTCACAGACAGAAACTGGAAGTTAGTTCCACAAGAGAGGAGCTTGATAACTGAAAGCTCTGCCTCCCATTCTACTTTTAGAAACTGGAGGAACCACAAGTAAACCTGCAGTCTGAGAGTGAAGTGCTCTGTTAGGAAAGTATGGYACAATAAGATGTTTAATATATGATGGAGCTTGGTTGTTGAGAGATTTGTATGTTAGGAGTAATATTTTAAATTCTATTCTGAATTTGACAGGGAGCCAGTGGAGAGAAGCTAAAACTGGAGAAATATGATCTCTCCTTCCAACTCTCATTAAAACTCTAGCAGCAGCATTTTGGATTAACTGAAGACTTCTTAAAYAGTTTTTTGGATGTCCAGATAATAAGACAGGAAGTGACAAATGTGCTGCTGATTGTTGGACCTCAGTGTGTGTTTTTGTCACATAACATTTTGTCTGAAACCTCCACAGATAAACTGTCCCAGTCCTTTTTTAACTTTTCCTCTCAGCCAGAGAAGCCAGTAAACGTTACAACACTGTTGCCTTCTTTTTCTGCTAAAACAGCTTCATTGGCTTCGTCTCCTTAGATCAAGCTGAACTACAGAGCGGGGGGTTCATCCTGTCCTTACAAATGAAACAATGTTGCTTTGTGAGAGCAGGTTGAGAGAAAACACATCCTGATAAGATAGACAAGTCAAAGGAGTGCTTCAGGCAAAGATTGATAAATTCAAATCTTCTGTTCACGTTWAGAAGCTGTTTCAGGCGGCATGCAGCAGCACGGCTGAACTGTGTGTGAGAGTCCGGCCTTGTTTTAATAACTTCATTGGATGGAACAAGGAAAGTGGTCAGAACACAGAGAACCTTTTTCTGATTTTAAAATAGACCGAAGCAGAACTTGGGCCCCACAGTCTCTAACTGGAGCTGAAGGCGTAAGATCAGTTAAAGGCTCATTAAATAAACCTGCTTACCTTGTTTTTACAGAACTCCTTCTCCAGTGTCTTTCACATGGAATACGAGGAGCTGACTGAAGTCCTTGATGCCCCTAAAAGGTAAGAGGATCCCCTCAGCTGATTAAATGAAAAGGCCCATAGATTAGCTTTGTGGCTGTTTCCYCTGCTTATTGCTGCTAATGTTTCCTTCAGTTTGCAAACCAGGCTGTTCCCTCAGAGGCCTTTAGAGGACTTGACTTTAACAGACAAGGATTAATCATCGTCATATGGAGAGAGGAAGAAAAGGGCACTGTAAGGCTGTCTTTTGCAGGAAATGGGAGCAGGGTGGGGTGCACCATTCGCTGGTCTCTTTGCCCGCACCATAACTTTTTTTGTCAATATGCAGAAGTTTGTTTTGAACGTTTCAGCTTTGTGTCCATATTTTTATTTACAACCGCTATTCCGATGACGTTGGGACGTTAAAATAAAAACAGAGTCTGAGGGTTTCTGTGTGCTGAGTGAAAGAAAGCAGACTGATGCTGAGGGTTCTCTCCTACAGCCAGCGTTCACCGCACTTTCTCCTGATCTAATAAGTCTCTGTGAGGAGTAGTAGAACTGAACCTCTCCAACTGGGCCAGAGAGGGAGGGGATGTTAGCTTTTGACTGGCTGGAACCACAGGAGAGTTTTTATAGAGGAATTAACCTCCGGCTGCAGCTTCCCAAAGAACCCGGCATCTGTTCCACCAACAGCAGGAAGTTCAGCCAAGCAGAACCAATGTGGATCCGGCTCGCAGGAACGGCAGCCGGAGCGTGTCAAGTAGACAAAGTGGGACAATTAAACCGTGCTGGATACAGAGTTTGTGCTTCTACACAGAAAACCATAGATTCACAGTCACGTACTTCTCTTCYGCCTCGTTTAACTCCATCACTGGAGCACGGGATGGAAACGTGGATTTGGAGAATTTGAGAGCTGAAACTAAATTTGCTTCTTGTGCAGGTATCTGATGTGTGAGCTGCCTCAGCAGCCTGAAGCCTTTAATGTCCAGAAGTCTTTGATGAGTTACATTCTACTTTGCTAAACAAAGAGTCACAACTTGGATAACATTTCCAAGATGGTGARGTCTCAGAGATTCACAGAAACTGAAAACTAATGCCAAGGTTATTTCTTTATTGGAGATAAGGTTTCTTTTATTTCACAGGATGTTGTATTGTATACTGTATGCTGTATTACAGTGCTCTCATTCAGCTGAGAGGAGGAGGAGCTACGAGGTGGTTAGGGTTGTTATTGGTCTGTTAGGTTTCAAAACATACATCTTGGGTTTGGGATTGACGGTCCACTGTAGCTTCAGTTTCACACTAATATAAAGTAAAGGTATCTGAATGACACACACACACTATGTTGGTTTTTAAACAAGGCTACCAAGAAACCAGCCACTGTACATAAGACCTCTGTACAAGTTTCATTTTTGTAAAATCCACTTTGACCAAAACATGTGTTTTGTATTTGACACGCTTTCTAACAATCCTTTTCTGTCTCACACACAC